CCATGATGTAGTCCCTCTGTAGCACAAGATAACACTTTTTGGGTTCATTATTACTCTAAATAGTCATAGAACCGTATGCCCTGGAGATCCTGATGACCGCTTTCCCCGAGATGACCGACTATCTCCGCCCAGTTGTAAACTACCATAACCACAGCTTATCAGCTCACGACTGATACCCTAACAGATCCTGGAGAGACGTGATCGCCTTCGCCTGTCGGTATGATACTTGATGATAATGATGATGATGCTTGACCATAAAACACCACATGAACCCTATCTGACACCCAACCCTTTTAACTATCTTTACATATTTTACTATACAGTAAATATACTTTCTATCCACCCCGCCCCTCTCTATTTAATTGCTGTCTCTTCCTCTATTCTACTATGTAACTTACCCATATGTTCTTGTTTTCCACTACATAACCCCTAAAACAGCCCCTGTATTTCTCGCCCCTGCTAACCGCCGCCTCTGAAATCCTCTGGTGCTCTGCTTCGTCCGTCCCACCACTCATGGAACTCATGGAACATAACTCCATATTCATTACCAAGGTCTTGGATGGTGCCTTCTGAAGATACAGTTAGACCTGTATTATGCTTACGTCCTTTTTATGACGTAATTTTTTGTTATTTGAAGCACTACCCTGGCTTTTGCCCGGGGCCGCAATATAGGCAGGAGGCATATATATGGCCAATTGTCTGAACTGGGACCTCTCCACGGGGATCCTTATCCCCATGATGGCACTTTGTGTCATCGGGTGTTTATCGCTTGTGTGATGTCTTGGTGGGGTAGAAAGTCAGTCAGTCAGTTAGACCTGTGTGCAAGCTTGGTAATACTGGGCCAGAATAGGAGTGGGTAAGAGCTTCCTAGCAATAGCTAGGCTTGTGTAGGATTATAATCGCTTTAGTGCACGGACTATCCAGAAGGCGCTGCAGAATCAGAAGTCCAAAATATGGACACCCCCCCCCCCCCACCCCCCCCCCCCCAGGTTATGTGATTACCTCTATAGGTGGCTCTGCGTTGAGAGGTAGACGAAGTACACGGGGGTTCATAGCAAAAGTGATACAGCCTAGCATATGGTACACCATATAGTTTGAGTATGGAGGCGAATGCAGTCACTGTAATTTCATCTGGCTTGACATCCAGATGTACTCACATGTGTCTAATCGTAATTGACCCACAAAGCATGCTGAGAAAACCGAAGGCAGGTTACTCCGTGCAGAGTAGCAAGCATCACTTCAGAGGTCCCAGGCCCTAGGTAGTTAGCGCCCTTTGGTTATTTTTGTTTTCAGGTAATGCCGGTGTGTTGGGAAACAAACAGTGTGTAGGCACAAACAGATTATTACGGTCTGAGAAGAATGGCACTGCCAGGAGTTACCAGGGTATCTGACAGACTCTCAACACTCAAAGGAAAGGCGAGGTGGCTATACAGTTAGACTGTTAATACTGATGCTATCGGAATTGCTGCTACAGATGCTGTCAGAAAGGGGGATTGTGGAATATACATTAAACCCCCTAGCAGTAGAGCAGAAACTCTCTCTCTACCAGCAGGTGACATCTGCACTAACTTCAGAGCTGAGGCAACTGCCCTCCTTTCTGCAGTCCAACATCTCATCAATCAAGAACACCGAGGGCACAAAATTGTTATACTTAGTGACTCATTGTCTGTTCTCAAAGCACTATCAAGCAAAAAACAAGACAAACTAATTGCAGATCTAAGGACCAACATTGGCTTACTCTCCAAGGAAGCAGAACTGGTCTTGCAGTGGATATCAGCCCACTGTGGTATTCAAGGAAATGAGAGAGCAGATGAGTTGGCAAAAGCTAGGAGTAATCTTCTTCACAACCTCATCCACCACACAGTTACAAGGAAACCAAAACAGCGCTAAAGCAGTTTTTCAAGCGGGAGTGGAGAAGGCAGAATGGAGATTACAGACCAGAGAGTGACAGCATAAACAAACTCAACAGGAAAGAACAAACAATAAATTTTAGACTTCGGACTGGACACTGTGGTCTTCGAGCACACCTGTACAGGATAGGTATAAAAGAATCTGCTGCCTGTGATTGTGGAGCATAAAGACAGACCCCTGGGCACATACTACTGTACTGTCCTTACCTCTCCCAGCAAAGACTGTGGATCTGGCTCAAGGGAGCCACATTGAAAGAGAAGCTATGGGGGACCGGTGGCGACCTTAAACGCACAATCCTATTTGTGACCCAGACGGGACTCAATGTTTAGCATGACTGAAGAAGAAGAAGAAGCTATCGGAATTGTAACTCTTAGTTTGCTACTGAAGATGGGACGGCATTTATGAGAATGTCCTGAGTGCTGTTATGTCGTTTCCTAATTCAACACCCAACAAGGCTGTCAAGAATACTCGATTGTTTTTATTTTTATTTTCTTTTATCTCTCTGTTGGCTCATGGTAACAGCTGTCATTAGATATTTTTAGTCGTTATCTTCTCAAAACCTGGCCAAACAGAATCACATATTCAACAACTATAAAAGTTGATACTGCTGCAGTGAGCTAAAGCATTCTCTTCCACGTCACGACGCACACAGTGCGGGCGATCAATAACTAATTAACTTCAATGAATCCCAACACAACAGGAGTAAATCGTGGCAAAGGTGAAATTACAATTAAGGGGGGGGGGGGTGTTTGTGGATATGTGTGTGTGTGATATATATTTAGAGGGAGAGGGGAAAAAGGGGGGGGGGTGGTGATACGAAAGAGAGACGGTTTTAAATATTCTGACTTCTGTGGAAAGAGAATTAGACCAAATAATTAGACTCATGTTGTTGAATATCGCAAATCGGAGAGGCACCATCGCCTACGCCAGTCTGTAATTCATTTGATTACATCTTGAAATAGAACAATATCTGTAAAAACAAATTGGCTGTACGCGAGACAGAACGTAACGGCCTACGCCATGTAGCTGAGACATCCCACTAATATTCTGAGCTGAAAACGGGAAATCCCACTAATATTCTGAGCTGAAAACGGGACATCCTACGATAATCGTCCCCCTACCCAAACCTCTACAGACCCCTAGAGTTTAGGCCCAAGCTATTGTAAAGCAAATGGCTTTTAAAATAAACATTCTGATGTCAAATGTTTCCCATAAGCCATCAACACATTTAAGACATTGGTAAGACTATGAAATCTAGTAAAGTCTACAGATGCAATTATAAGTGCGTGTTCTCACCCGGAACTTATTCCTGGATTTTGTTGTTGTTGTAAAACGTGCCATGTCACATGTTTTTGGAATACGGATGGGTTGGTTGGGACAATTGATTAAAAAAAAAAAATTGTACTGTCCCAGTGAGAACATATAGCATGATGTTAAAAATTAGTTGCGTGTCCATTTCACTTTGCAGAACAAGGCAGATGTGGTCAAGGTCCTTTGGGAACAAGCAACGGAATCAGTAGAGAAACAAGATTATTATAGCATAGAGAGAATGAGGCACCTGGATGTAACCAGAGGGTATGGCCGGCTCACTAAACTCAGAGGAAAGGCAAGACGGACATATAACCAGATTGTGACCAGTACCATCAGTATAAGAACTTTACGATGGCTGCTGAAGGTGAGGACGGAGCACGCCCCGAGTGCTGTGATGTCAGTTTTTGACTCAACTCAGCTACACCATAGGATTTTCAGGCTGTGGTTTCTCTAGGTAAATTTATGTTTAGTAGTTTGTCCTTGCGACTAACCGGTAGGCTCTCGGTGTCACCGTCGAAACCAAAGGTGGTCTGCTGCCAAAAAGCCTGCGGCTGGGATCGAACTGGCACATCGGCATTAGGAAACGTGTTGGCAAGCGTAAGCCACAGACATATTATGGAGTAAGAAACGCAGACAGTGGTTTGAGTTCTTGCAAAACTCTCCTGTGTGTCATTTCTATAAATAAACAGAGAGGGGAACCATTTGAGGCCGTTAAATATTATGAATTAATCAAGTAACAGAAAGTATTGTGAAAGGCACTCATAGAAAGAAGTAGAAAGATAGAAGAACACACTAGACAACATAAAAATCAAAAGCTATAGTTACCGTGCCGGGAATTGAGCCTGTCACCTCTAGACGGCGTCTGCGCCTCGCCATGAATACAAGTGCACTAAGATACATGGTCAACTCGGCACCCCCCCCCCCAAAAAAAAGGTGTCTCATTGGCCATGCTGTGAGTGTTATTCGACATTTGCCTCGTTAATATAAATTTCTGTAACCTATGGTGCCATTTCAATGGGTTAAAATGAATTCTGTCCGTATTCCATAGTCGTGGATTTCAAGCTGTACGATAGACATGGCCAATGAGACACCTTTTTTTGGGGGTGCCGAGTTGACCATGTATCTTAGTGCACTTGTATTCATGAAGAGGCGCAGACGCCGTCTGGAGGTGACAGGTTCAATTCCCGGCACGGTAACTATAGCTTTCGAATTTTATGTTGTCTAGTGTGTTCTTCTATCTTTCTACTTCTTTCTATGATTGCCGTTCACAATACTTTCTGTTACTTGATTAATTCTCCTGTGTGTGCAGTTACCTTCACATTCGTCCGAAAGCATACAGGCGTTGTTGGCAATGAAAGAGCTGATAGACTTGCAGGTGCTGCATTAACTAAAGATGGCCGGCCTATGGATAACGCAGAAATTGTCATTTCCCTTAGAGAGATAGGACGTTCTGAGGATTTTGGAAGCAACGTGTCCACATGACTGCTAAGAATACGAGAATTGGGAGTAAAGATCGGCACATCAATGCATGAGAAGCACACCGGACGCACACGAAGTCTTGTTAACCAACATAGGACTGGCACTATTAACCAAGCGACGCTGATAAATATGTTGAGAGGGGAATCTGAGCGCCCATGAGAACCAGGTCACATGATTTGGTCAGTCACGTGACTGCCACATCGAACTGGACTAAAAATAGACGGACACGTTTTTATAACCAATTAACGTAGACTAGTTTATTCGCTGCGGGATCACCGAAGAGAGAACATAGCGACAAGATGGCAGCTAAAGGGACGGGAATCTTACCTCTGAGATATGTTAACGGTGTACCCGTCCCGCAGGCTCGTCGCACTTTACGGTTGCGGGAGAAATATATAATTTTATTGGTGTTTATGACATTCACAACGGTGTGTACGTGCGCGTTTTTATTTCTTCCAAATTTGCAGGATAAAGTTTCGATGGATGAGGTCCGTAAACAGTTCCAAGGCGCTGAGGGAATGTTTTTACTGCAAGCTAGACTCGGTCCTGACGGTGCTCCGTTAGATACGGGAAAACTTCTTCGGCACGGCGACGAGGCAAACGATCCTCACAATGTTGACGATAAAAAAAAACTTCAGTCGAAGATCGTGACTGCTTGGGAGCAGGATAAGTTAGATAAAGGAATACAAGAAATGCACGTGAAACCTGAAGATGCGGGCAAACTCATAGAAAGCATTCAAATGGAAAAAGACATTATTTTAAGAAAAAAGAAAGAAGAGGACGAGAAGAAGAGACAGCAGGAACTTGAGGAAGCAAAGAAAGTGAATAAAGATCATGAGGGGCACCCGGGAGCTCGTGGAGGAGAGCCTACAGATCTTGATGTCAGAGCAAAACGGGACAAAGTGAGAGAGGTAAGTGCAAGTGGTGGACGTATTATAACCGTTAGTGGACTCACTACAGTCATCAACCTCACTGTTCATTGAACTAGTCAGTCCATAAGTGACTGGGTCCTCTCCCCAGCATGTAGTATATTGACTGATAACACCAGTTCTGTGTTGTTATTCAATTCTTCTTTAGTTTCCTGCAAAATGTTGCACACTCTCAACCGTTTTGACTAATAGTTTTTCAGTTTTGTAGTCTGCTATTATGTGTTACATATAACAGTTAGCTATAGAGCTGCTTCATATATTTAACTACAGCACAGCACTGTTACATATATTTAGCTATAGATCTGTTACATATATTTAGCTATAGATCTGTTACATATATTTAGCTTTAGATCTGTTACTGTTAAATATCATATATTTAGCTACAACACTGTCATTGTCATATTTAGTTAGCTATATTCAATCAATCAGGTGCCATCTCCACAATGAAGGTTGGCTGCAATGGATCTCCAACAAGCCCTGTCTCTTGCCCTTGATGTACACTCATTCATACTGCTGTTCATCTATCTCTTGATGTTATCCTCCCACTTGTAACGCTGTCTGCCTCTTGCTCGCCTACCTTGAACCTTTCCCTCTAGGATGATCTTTACAATACTGTTATGTCTTTTAATGTGGCCAAAATATTTTACTTGTCTCTTTTTTATTTCACCTAGCAACTCTCTTTCATTCCCAATTTCCTCAGTACCTCTGTATTTGATAGCTTTTGTTTCCATGAAATACGTCCTAATCTTCCGTATATCCACATCTCCAAAGAATTGATACGATTTTCCAGTTGTTTTTTCATTGTCCATGTCTCTGTACCATACAGTAAGGTTGAGAATACATAAAATTGGACAATTCTAATTTTTAATGGATTGCTTATTTCTCTTGATGTGAGTAACTTTTGCATGTTGTTGAAAATGTTTTTGGCCATCCCTATTCTTTTCTTGACTTCTGTTTCACTTCTGCCATTACATGTTATTAATTGTCCAAGATATAAGAAATTTTTAATTAGTTCCAATGTCACCCCGTTCACTGTGATATTCATTGTTAGCTGATTTTTTTCTTTTCTAAATATCATGGTTTTTGTCTTTTTCAAATTAATATCTAATCCAAATTCTGCACTCCTTCTGTTTACTTGCTCCACTAGATCTTGCAACTCCTGCTCATTCTCTGCTAGCAACACTGTGTCGTCAGCATATTTCAGATTGTTTATTATTGTGCCATTGATGTGCAGTCCTGGTAATTCTACAATTTCTTTAAAAATGGTTTCTGTACATAAGTTGAAAAAGCTAGGCGACAGCACACATCCTTGTCTTACTCCTCTCTTGATCTCTATCTGGGGTGAGCAGATGTCATATCTTACTGCTGCTTCTTGCTTCCAGTATAAGTTTCTAATACGTCTGATATTCTTTAAATCTAGTCCTATGTTTTGAAGAGCTGCAATTAGTTGTTCATGTTGCACTCTGTCGAAAGCTTTTTTGTAATCTATAAAACATGCATAAATATATGCATAAATATATTTTTCTGAACTTCTGTATATTTTTTAGTCAGCCTCTTTAGACAAATTATGGCCTCTCGAGTACCACTGTTTTTACGGAATCCAAATTGCTCTTCAGAAACTTCTTTCTCTATTTTATTTTGAATTCTTGCTTGTATTATCTTCAAGAGTAACTTAGTTACGTGACTCATTAGGCTAATAGTTCTGTAATCTTCACAATCAACAGCTTTTGATTTCTTGGGTAGTGTAATAAAAACAGATGTTTTCATGTCCCTAGGAATGTACCCATAGTTATAAATGTCATTGCATATTTCTGTGATAGTATCGATTCCAAAAGTAGATAATGATTTTAACATTTCTGCAGTTATGTTGTCTGAACCTACAGCTTTTCCCTGCTTCATCTGTTTAATGGCTTTCTCTACTTCAGACTTTACTATGTTTGGCCCCTCTTGAATATTATGGATTCCAAAAGTACATAATGATTTTAACCATTCTGCAGTTATGTTGTCTGGAACTGCAGCTTTTCCAAGTAGATAATGATTTTAACATTTCTGCAGTTATGTTGTCTGGACCTGCAGCTTTTCCCTGCTTCATCTGTTTAATGGCTTTCTCTGCTTCAGACTTTAATATGTTTGGCCCCTCTTGAATATTATGGATTGGTGGTTTGTCACCTCTGTTGTCCCAAAACAGGTCTTCTGTGTATTCAGTCCATCTTTTTATTATATCTTTCTTATCAACAATAATTTTTCCAGCTATATTACTGTTAGAAATTATCTATAACACTGTTAATGTTATATATCTTTAGCTTCAACCCTATCACATATATTTAGCTATAGCACTGTCAGCTATATTTAGCAGTGGATCTGTTACATATATTTAGCTTTAAATCTGTTACATATATTTAGCTATAGAGCTGTTACGTATATTTAGCTATAGAGCTGTTACATATATTTAGCTAAAGCTCTAGAGGTAATAATTGCTTTTAAATAACAGTCCAGGTTAAGTAGATGGAAAGTAGATTCATGTTTTTATAGACTAGTTGGGCTCTTGATGGTTGACCTTGTCAGCATCATCCTGGACTTCACCTCGTAGCTGATTTAGTTGTCTCAATCTGAAAGCCAGGGTCAATTTTTAAAGGAAAAAAAAACCTGACTGGATGCAGATTTGAACCCATGACCTTCGGGGCGGCAGGATGGGCATCTAACTACTACACTATTATGGCTTCCAGTCCTGATGTGGTAACGGGAGAAATGCTGTGTGATGCTGCAGAGTTGTGGTTTTGAACACAAATGTTGACACCATCGACAGATAAAAGGTGTGCACAGATCTTGGAAGAAATTAACCCATGAAGAGAATTTCTTCCTTAAAAGGGAAGTCAGAACATTGTTTTGTTCTTTACAGCTAGGCTAAGAAATCTGCACCTTTTTGTCCAACACATCCAGTTTCAGCAAATCCCTAAACTTTGACCTTTTGTGATATCCTTGTTCCGGAGGTACAACTGGAATGATGGAGTGTAGGAGAGGCAGACGGACCAAAAGAGGAGGCACTCTTTTGTCACATTGTGAGAATAGGTCAACTGGGGTACATCAGGACAACTGGAATGTTGGAGTGGAGGAGAGGCAGATGGAGACCAAAAGAGGAGTCACTCTTTTGTCACATTGTGAGAAGAGGACAACTGGGGTACATCAGGACATCTGGAATGTTGGAGTGGAGGAGAGGCAGAAGGACCAAAAGAGGAGTCACTCTTTCGTCACATTGTGAGAAGAGGACAACTGGGGTACATCAGGACAACTGGAATGTTGGAGTGGAGGAGAGGCAGACGGAGACCAAGAAAGAAGATGCTTGACAGTTTTGCATCATGGCACTGAGCAGCAATTGTGTCAGAAATAATTAAAATATGCAGGGCCATAATTAAATAATTAAAATACGCCCTTTAACATCTGCTAAAGTCAAAGTGTTTGTCTCTCAACACCAAGATCAAAAAATATAAAACGTTGATAAGATCAGTCGTGTTATATGGATCTGAAACCTGGAGCACAACTAAAAGAGATGAAGCCTTATTACAGCTTTTTGAGTCTTACGACGAATCTTTGGACCCATCAGAGATGCAAACAGCGGGAAACGGAGAGTGAGAAGCAACAAGGAAATTCATAATCTGTTTAAATCACCATTAATCACTGGCATCATGAGAGCTAATAGACTGAAATGGTTGGGGCATATTGAAAGAATGTCAGATGACAGAGAAGTAAAAATGGTATACACCAGGGAGATAAATTGTCGTAGACCACGAGGGAGACCAAGAGGACGATGGAGAGATAATAATCAGACAGACCTGCAAACACTCGATGTTACCAGCTGGAAAGAGAAGGCCAAGCAGAGAGATGAATGGAGGCGGGTGATATCTGCAGCAGTGAACCTCAAGGGCTTGGAATGCTGAAGAAGAATAAGAAGGGCCGAAGGCAGTGAGCAGACCTGATTACCAGCGACACACAGCATGGACTATAAGAATAAAACTTTCATTGAACTTTAACCTTGCATGAATATTGGGTGATATCTTGTTTAAATAGTGTATATTACAGGTATTACATTATGAGGGAATAATATGTGCATTACGTTATGAGGGATTAATATGTGCATTACTTTATAAGGGATTAATACACATTTTTCTTTATGGAAGATTAATGTATGGATTACTTTGTGAGAGACCTGATATCTCTCCATGCCATAGTGAGATTAAGTAATGCATGGCGTCAATATGATAGCCATACATGATGCATTTTCACAGCTGTGGAAGGCAATACTTCAATTATCGATTAGCACATGTGCTGATCAAACAAAACTAGGATTATTGATAATTTCAGTTAATCCCCTGAGCTGAACTTATGATATATTATGCGGGTCTCTATTTTAAATAGATCCGTGACTTTCACTGTGTATAGTATGTAGAATCTTGTCTCTCGTGTATAGATTACAGTGGCTCTCACATTGTATAAAATGGGGAAGTTAGCCTCTCATGTATAGATTGCTGTAGCTCTCACATGGTAAAGTATGTAGAAGCTAGTCTCATGTATAGATTACAGTGACTGTCACATTTCATAGTATGTAGAAGTCAGTCACATGTATAGATTACAGTGGCTCTCACATTGTATAGTATGTAGAAGTCAGTCACATGTATAGATTACAGTGACTGTCACATTGTATAGTATGTAGAAGTCAGTCACATGTATAGATTACAGTGACTGTCACATTGTATAGTATGTAGAAGTCAGTCACATGTATAGATTACAGTGACTGTCATATTGTATAGTATGTAGAAGTCAGTCATATGTATAGATTACAGTGACTGTCACATTGTATAGTATGTAGAAGTTAGCCTCTCATGTATAGACTACAGTGGCTGTCACATTGTATAGTATGTAGAAGTTAGCCTCTCATGTATAGACTACAGTGGCTGTCACATTGTATAGTATGTAAAAGTTGTCTCATGTATAGATTACAGTGACTCTCACATTGTATAGTATGTAGACATATCTCTTATGTAAAAGTTTAGTCTCATGTATAGATTACAGTGGCTCTCACATTGTATAGTATGTAGAAGTCAGTCATATGTATATATTACAGTGGCTGTCACATTGTATAGTATGTAGACATATCTCTTATGTATATATTACAGTGGCTGTCACATTGTATAGTATGTAGACATATCTCTTATGTATATATTACCGTGGCTTTCACATTGCATAATAACACAGGTTCTCATGTTGTATATTACAGGTAGTCTCATGATTTGTAGATTCTAGAGGTTCTCATGTTAGTTAGATTACAGTGGTTCTTATGTTGTATATATTACAGTGGTTCATATATTGTATAGATTACAGTGTTTCTCATGTTTATAGATTGCAGTGAGTCTCATGTTCAGTAGATTACAAAAGTTCTAATATTGTGTAGATTACAATGGTTCTCATGTTGTGTGGATAAGAATTATTATCATGTTGTAAGATTACAGTGGTTCTCATGATGTATAGATTACATTGGTTGTCATGTTGTGAAAATTAAAGTGGTTGTCATGTTGTGTAAATTACAGTGGTTTTCATGTTGTGTAGATCATAATGGTTCTTATTTTGTGTGAATGACATTGGTTCTCACAGTGTGTAGATTACAATAGCTCTCATGTTGTGTAGGTATCAGTGGCTTTCATGTTGTGTAGGTATCAGTGGCTTTCATGTTGTGTAGATTACAATAGCTGTAATGTTGTGTAGGTATCAGTGGCTTTCATGTTGTGTAGATTACAATGGCGTTCATGTTGTGTAGGTATCGGTGGCTCTCATGTTGTGTAGGTATCAGTGGCTCTCATGTTGTGTAGGTATCAGTAGCTTTCCTGTTGTGTAGATTATAATGGCTCTCATGTTGTGTAGATAAGAATTATTATCATGTTGTAAGATTACAGTGGTTCTCTTGATGTATAGATTACATTGGTTGTCATGTTGTGAAAATTAAAGTGGTTGTCATGTTGTGTAAATTACAGTGGTTTTCATGTTGTGTAGATCATAATGGTTCTTATTTTGTGTAAATGACATTGGTTCTCACGGTGTGTAGATAACAATGACTCTCATGGTGTGTAGGTATCAGTGGCTTTCATGTTGTGTAGATTACAATGGCTCTCATGTTGTGTAGGTATCAGTGGCTCTCATGTTGTGTAGGTATCAGTAGCTTTCATGTTAAGTAGATTACAATGGCTCTCATGTTGTGTAGGTATCAATGGCTTTCTTGTTGTGTAGGTATCAGTGGCTTTCATGTTGTGTAGGTATCAGTGGCTTTCATGTTGTGTGGGTATCGGTGGCTTTCATGTTGTGTAGGTATCAGTGGCTCTCATGTTGTGTAGGTATGTGGCTTTCATGTTGTGTAGGTATCAGTGGCTTTCATGTTGTGTGGATTACAATAACTCTCATGTTGTGTAGGTATCACTGGCTTTCATGCTGTGTAGATTACAATGGCTTTCATGTTGTGTAGGTATCAGTGGCTTTCATGTTGTGTAGGTATCAGTGACTTTCATGTTGTGTAGTTATCAGTGGCTTTCATGTTGTGTAGTTATCAGTGGCTTTCATGTTGTGTAGGTATCAGTGGTTTTCATGTTGTGTAGGTATCAGTGGCTTTTATGTTGTGTGGGTATCAGTGGCTTTCATGTTGTGTAGATTACAATGGCTGTCATGTTGTGTAGTATCAGTGGCTTTCATGTTGTGTAGATTACAATGGCTTTCATGTTGTGTAGGTATCAGTGGCTCTCATGTTGTGTAGGCATCAGTGGCTTTCATGTTGTGTAGGTATCAGTGGCTTTTATGTTGTGTGGGTATCAGTGGCTTTCATGTTGTGTAGGTATCAGTGGCTTTCATGTTGTGTAGATTACAATGGCTTTCATGTTGTGTAGGTATCAGTGGCTCTCATGTTGTGTAGGCATCAGTGGCTTTCATGTTGTGTAGGTATCAGTGGCTTTTATGTTGTGTGGATTACAATGGCTCTCATGTTGTGTAGGTATCAGTGGCTTGCTGGTTGTGTAGATTACAGTGGCTTTCATGTTGTGAAGGTATCAGTGGCTTTCATGTTCTGTAGGTATCAGTGGCTTTCATGTTGTGTAGTTATCAGTGGCTTTCATGTTGTGATGTTGTATAGGTATCAGTGGCTTTCATGTTATGTAGGTATCAGTGGCTTTCATGTTGTGTAGGTATCAGTGGCTTTCATGTTGTGTAGATTACAATGGCCGTCATGTTGTGTAGGTATCATTAGCTTTCATGTTGTGTAGATTACAATGGCTGTCATGTTGTGTAGTATCATTGGCTTTAATGTTGTGTAGGTATCAGTGGCTTTTATGTTGTGTAGATTACAATGGCTCTCATGTTATGTAGGTATCAGTGGCTTTCATGTTGTGTAGGTATTAGTGGCTTTCATGTTGTGTAGATTACAATGGCTATCATGTTGTGTAGGTATCATTCATTAGCTTTCATGTTGTGTAGGTATTAGTGGCTTTCATGTTGTGTGGGTATCAGTGGCTTAAATGTTGTGTAGATTATAATGGCTCTTATGTTGTATAGGTATCAGTGGCTCTCATGTTGTGTAGGTATTAGTGGCTTTCATGTTGTGTAGGTATCAGTGGATTTCATGTTGTGTAGGTATTAGTGGCTTTCATGTTGTCTAGGTATCAGTTTCTTTCATGTTGTGTAGATTATAATGTCTCTCATGTTGTGTAGGTATAAGTAGCTCTCATGTTGTGTAGGTATTAGTGGCTTTTATGTTGTGTAGATTACAATGGTTGTCATGTTGTGAGGTATCAGTGGCTTTCATGTTGTGTAGATTGCAGTGGTTCTCGTGTTGTGTAGATTGCAGTGGGTCAGTGGATTACAAGGATCTCATGTTGTGTAGATTACAATGGTTCTCATGTTGTGTAGATTAGAATTATTATCATATTGTAAGATTGCAGTGGTTCTTATGATGTATAGATTACATTGGTTGTCATGTTGCAAAAAAATTAAAGTGGTTGTCATGTTGTGTAAATTACTGTGGTTTTCATGTTGTGTAGATTACAATGGTTCTTATTTTGTGTAAATGACATTGGTTCTCACGGTGTGTAGATTACAATGGTTTTTATTTTGTGTAGATATCAGTGGCTTTCATGCTGTGTAGATATCAGTGACTTTCATGATGTGTAGATTACAATGGCTCTCATATTATGTAGGTATCAGTGGCTCTCATGTTGTGTAGGTATTAGTGGCTTTCATGTTGTGTAGGTATCAGTGGCTTTCATGTTGTGTAGGTATTAGTGGCTCTCATGTTGTGTAGGTATCAATAGCTTTCATGTTGTGTAAGTATCAGTGGCTTTCATGTTGTGTAGGTATCAGTCTTCTTCTTCTTCTTCTTCATGTTGTGTGCATTGCCGACTATTCAATATAGGATAAAGGTGCTGCAGGCTAAGTCATACCTCAGAGTAGCTGCAGACAAAGAACACCCTCTGTATGAAGCTTTGGCTGCAGGTAAGGGTCAGAGACTTAAAAGGGGGAAATCGTCGATGGCTCTAGCAGAAGAGACAATAAGACAAGTATACATGCTGGAGAACATTGGGCGAGGAGAGGAGTGGGTCAGAGTACTAGAGGAAACGTCTGACCTGTGTAGGGTTATGATCACATTGGGCCGGAAGTGCAGAGAGTGGCCAGCGGATGCTACAGAGATGGAAGTCCAACAGTTGATTCACGACAATTCACGCCCAGGTGATCTGATTATCTTTAAAGATGGTTCGGTGTTGAGAGGAAAGAGAAATGCCTGGGGGTTCATAGCAAAGGCCAGTGGAAAATCTTTAATGCAAAACAGCCTGGCATACGCAATCACAACATCTAGCGTGAGAATGGAGGTGGAGGTAGTAACTGCAGCTCTTAGGTGGCTAGAGAACAAGATGCATACATATGTTGAAATTGTAGGCATGCTGTGAAAGGTGAAGACAGGGATGCTTCGAACAGAGTGGGAAGGTCACGGGTAGTCAGCATACTTTTGATCTTTTCTCCAGACTATGTTGGTGTAATGAGTAATGAACAGGCAGATAGATAGGTTGTGTCTACACCACTGGGTGGTGAATTTATACATGACAAGGCAGATGTGGTCAAGGCCCTTTGGGCACAAGCAACGGAATCAGTAGAGAAACAAGATTATTATAGTCTGGAGAGAATGAGGCAACTGGGTGTGACCAAAGGGTCTGGCCGGCTCACTACACTCAGAGGAAAGGTAAGATAGACATAAAACCAGATTGTGACCGGTACCATCAGTATTGGAACTCTGTGCACTGGCTGGTGAAGGTGAGGATGGAGCACGCATAGGAATGCCCCAAATGCTGTGATGTCAGTTCTTGACTCAACTCAACTCACGGTGTATAGATTACTGTGGTTCACATCCTGTTGTATGGCCAGAATATGTATTTGTGACATACTGTTGCTTGAATGTTAAGCCATACATCATTGAACAAACTTTCTTTTCAGATGATGCTCCATGCTTGGCATGGCTACGTGCAGTATGGATGGGGAGCTAATGAACATAGACCCATCTCCAAGCAAGCTCACTCGGGCAGCGTCTTTGGGGCTGGCAGCCTGGGGGCAACCATCGTGGATGCTGTGGATACTCTGTATATCATGGAGCTGGATGATGAGTACCAGAAGGCAAGAGACTGGATAGCCCAGAGTCTCAATTTTGAAATTGTAAGAGTCCTGTCAATCATTGTATCTTTAAGTTCCCTAGGGATGGCAGTGTTGATCTTTACATCTGTGTGCATATTGTTTCTTAATGTGTGTTTATGCACACGTGTGTGTGATGTGCTTGCTGAGAGTGACTAGTGGCTTGCCAAGTGTCTGGTGGCTTGCCAAGTGTCTGGTGGCTTGCCAAGAGTATCTGGTGGCTTGCCAAGAGTATCTGGTGGCTTGCCAAGTGTCTAGTGGCTTGCCAAGAGTTACTGGTGGCTTGCCAAGAGTATTTGGTGGCTTGCCAAGAGTATTTGGTGGCTTGCCAAGAGTTACTGGTGGCTTGCCAAGAGTATCTGGTGGCTTGCCAAGTGTCTGGTGGCTTGCCAAGAGTATTTGGTGGCTTGCCAAGAGTTACTGGTGGCTTGCCTATAGTGTCTGATGGCTTGCCGAGAGTGTCTGATGGCTTGCCGAGAGTGTCTGATGGCTTGCCTATAGTGTCTGATGGCTTGCCTATAGTGTCTGATGGCTTGCCTATAATGTCTGATGGCTTGCCTATAGTGTCTGATGGCTTGCCTATAGTGTCTGATGGCTTGCCGAGAGTGTCTGATGGCTTGCCTATAATGTCTGATGGCTTGCCTATAATGTCTGATGGCTTGCCTATAGTGTCTGATGGCTTGCTGAGAGTGTCTGATGGCTTGCCTATAGTGTCTGATGGCTTGCCTATAGTGTCTGATGGCTTGCTTATAGTGTCTGATGGCTTGCCGAGAGTGTCTGATGGCTTGCCTATAGTGTCTGATGGCTTGCCTATAGTGTCTGATGGCTTGCCGAGAGTGTCTGATGGCTTGTCTATAATGTCTGATGGCTTGCCTATAGTGTCTGATGGCTTGCCGAGAGTGTCTGATGGCTTGCCTATAGTGTCTGATGGCTTGCCTATAGTGTCTGATGGCTAGCCGAGAGTGTCTGATGGCTTGCCGAGAGTGTCTGATGGCTTGCCTATAGTGTCTGATGGCTTGCCTATAGTGTCTGATGGCTTGCCTATAGTGTCTGATGGCTTGCCTATAGTGTCTGATGGCTTGCCTATAGTGTCTGATGGCTTGCCTATAGTGTCTGATGGCTTGCCTATAGTGTCTGATGGCTTGCCGAGAGTGTCTGATGGCTTGCCGAGAGTGTCTGATGGCTTGCCTATAATGTCTGATGGCTTGCCTATAATGTCTGATGGCTTGCCTATAATGTCTGATGGCTTGCCGAGAGTGTCTGATGGCTTGCCTATAATGTCTGATGGCTTGCCTATAGTGTCTGATGGCTTGCCGAGAGTGTCTGATGGCTTGCCTATAATGTCTGATGGCTTGCCTATAGTGTCTGATGGCTTGCCTATAGTGTCTGATGGCTAGCCTATAGTGTGTGATGGCTTGCCTATAGTGTCTGATGGCTTGCCTATAGTGTCTGATGGCTTGCCTATAGTGTCTGATGGCTTGCCTAGAGTGTCTGATGGCTTGCCTAGAGTGTCTGATGGCTTGCCTAGAGTGTCTGATGGCTTGCCTAGAGTGTCTGATGGCTTGCCTAGAGTGTCTGATGGCTTGCCTAGAGTGTCTGATGGCTAGCCTATAGTGTGTGATGGCTTGCCTATAGTGTCTGATGGCTTGCCTATAGTGTCTGATGGCTTGCCTATAGTGTCTGATGGCTTGCCTATAGTGTCTGATGGCTTGCCTAGAGTGTCTGATGGCTTGGCTAGAGTGTCTGATGGCTTGCCTAGAGTGTCTGATGGCTTGCCTAGAGTGTCTGATGGCTTGCCTAGAGTGTCTGATGGCTTGCCTAGAGTGTCTGATGGCTTGCCTAGAGTGTCTGATGGCTTGCCTAGAGTGTCTGATGGCTTGCCTATAGTGTCTGATGGCTTGCCTATAGTGTCTGATGGCTTGCCTATAGTGTCTGATGGCTTGCCTATAGTGTCTGATGGCTTGCCTATAGTGTCTGATGGCTTGCCTAGAGTGTCTGATGGCTTGCCTATAGTGTCTGATGGCTTGCCTATAGTGTCTGATGGCTTGCTGAGAGTGTCTGATGGCTTGCCTAGAGTGTCTGATGGCTTGCCTAGAGTGTCTGATGGCTTGCCTAGAGTGTCTGATGGCTTGCCTATAGTGTCTGATGGCTTGCCTATAGTGTCTGATGGCTTGCCTATAGTGTCTGATGGCTTGCCTATAGTGTCTGATGGCTTGCCTATAGTGTCTGATGGCTTGCTGAGAGTGTCTGATGGCTTGCCTATAGTGTCTGATGGCTTGCCTATAGTGTCTGATGGCTTGCCTATAGTGTCTGATGGCTTGCCTATAGTGTCTGATGGCTTGCCTATAGTGTCTGATGGCTTGCCTATAGTGTCTGATGGCTTGCCTATAATGTCTGATGGCTTGCCTATAGTGTCTGATGGCTTGCCTAGAGTGTCTGATGGCTTGCTGAGAGTGTCTGATGGCTTGCCTATAGTGTCTGATGGCTTGCCTATAGTGTCTGATGGCTTGCCTATAGTGTCTGATGGCTTGCCTATAGTGTCTGATGGCTTGCCTATAGTGTCTGATGGCTTGCCTATAATGTCTGATGGCTTGCCTAGAGTGTCTGATGGCTTGCCTAGAGTGTCTGATGGCTTGCCTAGAGTGTCTGATGGCTTGCCTATAGTGTCTGATGGCTTGCCTATAGTGTCTGATGGCTTGCCTATAGTGTCTGATGGCTTGCCTATAGTGTCTGATGGCTTGCCTATAGTGTCTGATGGCTTGCCTATAGTGTCTGATGGCTTGCTGAGAGTGTCTGATGGCTTGCCTATAGTGTCTGATGGCTTGCCTATAGTGTCTGATGGCTTGCCTATAGTGTCTGATGGCTTGCCTATAGTGTCTGATGGCTTGCCTATAGTGTCTGATGGCTTGCTGAGAGTGTCTGATGGCTTGCCTATAGTGTCTGATGGCTTGCCTATAGTGTCTGATGGCTTGCCTATAGCAACTGGGAATGTCAGTGGGCTCTAGGCACCACTCTCACAGGAGGGGGGGGGGGGGGTTGATGGCAAGACGAGTGGTGTCACTCACTCAAAGCACATAACTATATAGATTTACCAGTTCTCTCTGGAAAACCTGCATTTGCAAACTGAATAATTTAATTTGATACTGAAATCAAGATCCTTAGGGTGCAAGGCAAACAGCTGTAGACAGTAATGACGGAATTATGAATTTACTTGCTTGTCCTTTTGTCATTCTCACATATAATCTGTCCCCTTCTTCAGCAGCTGAATAGTTTCTTTACTTATGTGGCCAGTTGTCTGCCTGTCCCCCCCCCCCCCCCCCCCCCCCCGTAGGGATTGATGATAGAAATAAGGTAAGGGATTCCCACCATGTTAATTATGGTGCCCTTTTTTGGAGAGGTTGGGGGTGGGTAATATATCCATCCCTTAACAAGTATGTTAAAAGAATTTACTAATTAAGGACTTGCTAAAAGCAGATATGTTGGGCTGAAAGGCGCAGATATCACAGCCTAGCTGTAAACCACAACACAGCTGCCCTTTTGATGGCAAACACAGCTAAACGAGACAAGGTTTTCCATGATGACAGACATTCACCTGTCTTGTTGTGTGTCCACAGTCAGCTGATCTGTCCGTGTTTGAGACAAATATTCGGTTCATTGGAGGCCTTCTATCTACGTACGCTCTTACTGGAGACCAGGTGAGTCCAGTGAATGAAAGTAGACCAGTTCTTCTGCTTATGTCCTTTATCTGTCTTTGTCTCTTCTCTGTCCTTTGTCCTGCTTGTCAGCATCAGCTTGAGCAGACGCAGCTGATGCCAGCCTGGTGTGTTCTACATAGATGCTGCTACTATCTCTGATTGGTTCTTTGATAGTTTGCTCAAGCAAGCTTTCAACCCCTGCCGGCCTGCTGTGGCATTCTCAGTTTCAGGGAATTATAATACCAGGTTGATCCCATTCCACCTGGCAAGCCACAACCCCATTATCCTGAAGCCTCATGGCCTCAGTTTTGCAATGTGTACCACTTGGAGGCCAGTGTGCACCAAATAGAGACCTGTGTGCGCTACTTGGAGACCAGTGTGCACCACTTGGAGGCCAGTGTGCACCACTTGGAGGCCAGTGTGCACCACTTGGAGACCAGTGTGCACCACTTGGAGGCCAGTGTGCACCACTTGGAGGCCAGTGTGCACCACTTGGAGGCCAGTGTGCACCACTTGGAGGCCAGTGTGCACCAAATAGAGGCCAATGTGCACCAAATAGAGGCCAGTGTGCATCGCTTGGAGGCCAGTGTGCATCGCTTGGAGGTAGGGGCAGGGGGTTGCTGATTTTTCCTTTTTTTCCTTTCAGGAGAAGAGCTGGCCAAACTTGACATTGCTATACACTTTATTCCCCATGATAAAGTTGGCTCTCAAAAAAATTACACGGCATCCTGTCCGGTTACTTTTTGTTTTTATTTTTCAGTGTAATTTGTGATTTTGTCTCTTATTTCCTTCTGTTTTTGTTTGTTTGTTGGTATCTCTTTGTTTCTTCTACCACATGGGTTCCATTGCAAGGATATTCTTGTCAGACTATTATTAGGCTATTTCAGTGTGTTGTGAATCAGTTAGGGGATGTTTGTGTGAGCAATGTCTCTAGCTTGCCTTTGTGTAATCGAGGTTTGAAAGCAATGTTTCCCTTAAAATAAAGCCTAAGCCCAAAATAAGCCCTGGCATAATTGTTCAGAAGGAAATTAAATTTAAGCCTTAAGGAGACTATGCCCCACTGGATAATGAGAAACAAAAACACAATTCATAATCTGTGGAAATCACCACTAAATAGTGACATCATGAGGAACAGGCTGAAATGGCTGGGGAATATAAAGAGAATGGTAGGTAACAGAGAGTCAAAAACTGGGCACTTAGAATAGTTGAATGGAGGAGATCACAGTGCAGACCTATAAGATGGTGGAGATATAATATTGAGGGCATTCAAGTAAACACTTGAAGCTACCAACTGGAAAGAGAAAGCTAATGACAGATGAATGGAAAGTAAAGTAAAAGTAAAGATCCCTTTTCACTCCTTTTAGGTGTTTAGGGTATATGGGAAGAGCGCCTTCATTTTTTAGACATCGTCACTAGGTGGGTAATGTGGTCAGCATTACGCCGACCGTCTTTACTTCCCCAGGTCATCCATCCCGGTACCCATTTTAGGCTGGGTCGACCTGCGACGCCCCATACCATGGTGAAAATCCACGCAGCTAGCAGTGGGTTTCGATCGCGGTACATTGAAATTATGAGTCGGACTCGCAATGCCTAAGCCACGGACGCAGATAAATGGAAGCAGGTGATATCTCAGCATTTTACCCACTTGTAACTTCCTGTGATGTCATTTATTTATTATATCTACTGCCCATTTATAAATTCACTGTATATAAATTCTTCTTATTATCATGACTATATTACAGAACTTTTCCTCATTTATAACTTCCCTTTGTTGTCATTCATGTCTTTATTACAAAATCTGTTTCCCGTTTATAACTTTATCTTTTTAATATTTCCCAACTGTGGTGTCATGATGTTTATGTTCCCTGATAACAGATTTTTAAAAAAAGGGCCAAAGAAATAGCTGACAAACTATTGCCTGCCTTCAACACACCGACTGGGCTGCCCCTGGCTATCATCAACCTGAAAACGTAAGTGGGAACCACGCACACCTGGGGCACATTCAATGGTAGCATAGAGGCATCAGTTGACTATGGTTCATGCTTGTGTGATCTCCAGCAGTTGTCTTCATAACCTCTATAAACCTTTTCCTGTGTATGTATGCACCTGATCATTTAACACTCGCTGAGCAGTGTCTGTTTATGAATCTTATCAATTGTTACTGTTAATTTACTGAGGCAGGTATGTTTAACTGTCTTTGTGGTATGTTTTTACCACTTTTTGGTGTGGTGTAGAATAGGAAGTAAAATGCTAGGGTAAAAGGGGTGAGGGGTGTTCTGATCTGAATACTGTTGTGGAGTGTGAACAGTTTTTTAGCCTGCTCGGTAGAGCGAAACAAGCTCCTGTTAAGTAGCCCGCTGACAGACCATTAGCATGGGTATCTAAGCAAACCCCCCTTCCCTCCCCCATGCAGTAATTGTATCAGACTCCATAAACATGCTTCAGAAGATATCAACAGGCGGTGTGCGCTCTGAATGGATAGAAAGCATTCGAGAATCGCACTTAACAATCCTCACCTGGATCTACAGACCGGGTCATGCGGGCGTAAAGGGAAATGAACCAGCGGACCAACTGGCAAGCACTGCACTAAGGTTGTGGAAAAAACATGGACAGCAGATATCGTCAACGCTGTACGAACTGGGCTAGTGGATAAAGAGGAATCCCTGACACTAACGCGATTGCATGACATAGGAGTAAAGCATGGTGAGGCACATCTATGCCGTATTCGAGGCAGAGGTAAAAGACAATATAACCAGCTTCTCAAGGGAAAAATTAGTAAAAGTACTTTTGAGTGGCTGCTGCGTCGGAGGACTGAGCAAGTATGGGAATGCCCAATGTGCAGTGACGTCGATTGTGATAACATAACATATGTAAAGACAAAGAAAGGGCCTAATAAAAGACAGCTGTCGCAGACGTGAAGCTTGACATGGCCAGGTTTTATGTGCTGGAGAAATCACAGGTGGATGTATCCAGCTATCAGTAACAAGTCAGCAGGGTGGATATGGTATACCTAATTAAAATGTTAACTTTTATGGAGCCATGTCTTTAGGTGACTAAAGTCGTAAACATTGGCTCGTTATCGTTAATTCTTGTCTTGCCTGCTGACCCAAAGGTCTTGAGTTCTAATCTGCACTAGGTGGATTTTTAAGAAACAGCGGATTCTTCAGTCACAAACATGAGGGAAAGTTGAGTCCCCTGTGATGTGTATAAGGCGATACTCTGTACATCACCTCAGGACCCAACCTTCTCTGTGCTGGTTTTATAGAACCTCATGCAATGCTCCTGCTGCACGTCCCCTTCATGCAACTGATAATGTCTCAACTGAGCATTAACAGAGCTGGCAGCCCTCAGATATATAGGATCCAGTCTGGCTCTCATCAACCCACCCCCACAGCATGGGTATATCAAAACCCATTTGGAACATGAGTAAAACCCACTTGACAACTCTGGGTTAAAAGTCTGTTGAGTGAAAGAACAACTAAACTGCTGAGACTCAACCCTAGACCAAGAGGTTTTCTCACAAATGCTCTGTTTCATGCAGAAAATATCTAAAAGTATGATGTTCCCGCAGCACACTGATTAAACACATATTGTTCCCTTCTTCTCATACATCACTTCTTGCTTTGTCCACTCCTGATTCCACGCTGACACATTCTTATGTTAGTTTTAAATATATTGGTGTTACTTTTCCTTTGCAGTCAACAAAGCAGGCAGAGAGAGAGGAAGAGAGAAGGGCAGAAGGAGAGAGAGGATCATGCTGTATTAGTAACACATGTTCTCTACAATACTAGCCAGATTTTTGTACATCCCTCACCATAATTGGTTTCACCATAGGTTTTGGCTACAGTGTCTCCTTATTGCATACAGGAAAGACAGAAAGCGGCCAGCAACGATATCTATGCAATTCTGAAGTAACATTTGCCTGGTTAGCTCAGTCAAAACCATGCCTGGTTAGCCTTATTTTACATCTAGGTTTTCTCTCTTTCTCTAGGGGATCATCACGTAACTATGGTTGGGCATCTGGGGGCAGCTCTATATTGTCTGAGATTGGATCCCTACACTTAGAGTTTGACTACCTGTCTGCTGTGACAGAAAACAGTATATACAGAGACAAGGTGGGTATCTGTCAAGTCAGATTTCAGCTGAAAACTTCATGTTGTGGCAGGACAGACCTTGGCTGCCTTAGTTGACAGATAGTTTAGGAGGAAAGATAGGCAGACAACACTGCCTGATCTGACAGCTTCTGCTGTTTTGGACTTAACAAAGCAGGCAGAGAGAGAATGAGCAAACATTATTTTCAAAGGGTTGCTAATTGGGCACACAGGTCCATCTTACATTCAGCCTTTCCAAACACTCGCCTTTCACACCGCAATTGTATTTTATCAATAAGGCATTTTGTGCTCATGTTACAATGTACATAATATAATAATAATAGAGAGAGAGAGAGAGAGAGAAGGGGGTGGGGTCTGTGCATGGGTAACATATCATCTCGATAATAGCGTCCAGACCTTATGCTAAAGAAATAATGACTTTCATTCCTAGCATGAAGCAAAGACACCTGCGTTGGTTTGGTCATGTCTCTCACATGGAGGTTGTCGCTTTTCAAAGAGTCTCCTGTATGGTAACAGGGATAAGACATGCAAGAAGGCGAAAACTTCACTTTGGAAATGTGACCTCAAAGATATCAACTTTGGCATGAAACAGTCAAGATCAGCTGCAGACCAACTCCTTTGGTGGCAGACGGTGAAGAAACACATACTATTGCAGTTTGAAAGAGGCCAAACGCAGCAAGCTATAGAGAGGAGACGTCTGAGAGAAACCAGCGTCAGAATGATGGTGTATCATTTCAGTGTGGATTGTGTGGCAAAGACTGCCATTTCCTGACTGGACTTCACAGTCTATAGCAGACCTTGTTCCCAAAACCAGTTGCACAACTCCATAGTCTCTAGGCACTGATAGGTTGCTACTACATTCCTAGCATCAACTGGTAAAGCCTACTGCATTCCTAGCATTATTACATTGCTACATTACTTCATTCCTAGTTACGGAGTGCGTGCTCTGTGCTTTATACCATCTTCAGGTGGCAATAGAGAGAGTTGGAAGATGAGACGATGAGGAAATGGAGAGAGTTGGAAGATGAGACGACGAGGAAATGGAGAGAGTTGGAAGATGAGACGACGAGGAAATGGAGAGAGTTGGAAGATGAGACGACTAGGAAATGAAGAGAGTTGGAAGATGAGACGACGAGGAAATGGAGAGAGAAGAAGGCACAGAAATAGAAGAGCCGGAGTCCAGTGAGTCTTTGGAAAAACGGAGCGTCTGGGATTAAAGCCTGTTAGAGTGAGTAAGTGGAACTGTCGTAGTGCCAAGCAGAGAGGACCTGTACTGGAGAGGCTGATTTATGATCACTTGCAATAATGTTGCACGGCCCTTACTAGAGAAAGCTTGTCTGGTCAATCAAAACAAGATGCAGAACTAGTCAGCCTTTTGAAGATCCACAATTTGACAAAATAAATGTTGCGGCTGAAAAGCCTTCATCAGATTATGACAGTAGTGGACATTTAAACAATTACAGACAAGAATACCTACAGACATGGTTGTCATTGTGTGAGGTTGGTGGTGCTACCTATAGACATGGTTGTCATTGTGTGAGGTTGGTGGTGCTACCTATAGACATGGTTGTCATTGTGTGAGGTTGGTGGTGCTACCTATAGACATGGTTGTCATTGTGTGAGGTTGGTGGTGCTACCTATAGACATGGTTGTCATTGTGTGAGGTTGGTGGTGCTACCTATAGACATGGTTGTCATTGTGTGAGGTTGGTGGTGCTACCTATAGACATGGCTGTCATTGTGTGAGGTTGGTGGTGCTACCTATAGACATGGCTGTCATTGTGTGAGGTTGGTGGTGCTACCTATAGACATGGTTGTCATTGTGTGAGGTTGGTGGTGCTACCTATAGACATGGCTGTCATTGTGTGAGGTTGGTGGTGCTACCTATAGACATGGCTGTCATTGTGTGAGGTTGGTGGTGCTACCTATAGACATGGCTGTCATTGTGTGAGGTTGGTGGTGCTACCTGTAGACATGGTTGTCATTGTGTGAGGTTGGTGGTGCTACCTATAGACATGGCTGTCATTGTGTGAGGTTGGTGGTGCTACCTGTAGACATGGTTGTCATTGTGTGAGGTTGGTGGTGCTACCTATAGACATGGCTGTCATTGTGTGAGGTTGGTGGTGCTACCTATAGACATGGTTGTCATTGTGTGAGGTTGGTGGTGCTACCTGTAGACATGGTTGTCATTGTGTGAGGTTGATGGTGCTACCTGTAGAAACATTCTTTGAGTTGTTGCTGTTTTTCTTCCAGGTTATGAAAATAAGGACATTCCTCAAAGAAATAGACAAACCTGGTGGCTTTTACTCTAATTACATTCACCCCAAAACTGGGAAATGGGGACAGCGTAAGTGTTTGTCTTATTGTATGTCTGTCTGCTCTGTGTCTATATGTGTCTCTGTGTTTGTGTGACTCTTCATTAATGTCGCAGTGTTGTGATAGAAGTGTTAATGTGTCTCTGTGTGTGTGTGACTTCTTCATTAATGTCAGAGTGTTGTGATAGAACCTGTTAATATGTCTCTGTGTGTGTGTGTGTGTGTGTGACTTCTTTATTAATGTCAGAGTGTTGTGATAGACCATGTTAATGTGTCTATATGTGTGTGACATTCTTCATTAATGTCAGAGTGTTGTGATAGACCATGTTAGTGTGTGTGCCTGCATTTGTGCATGCATGTGTGTGTGACTTCTTCACTAATATCAGAGTGTTGTGATAGAACATGTTAATGTGTGCATGTATGTGGCTCTGTGTGTGTGTGACTTCTTCATTAATGTCAGTAAGCTGTGATAGAACGCGCGTGCATGCGTGCGCAGGAGAGAGAAACTTCTTCAATAATGTCAGAGTGTTGTGATAGAACGTGTGTGTGTGTGTGTGTGCCTGCACGTGCATGCGTGCGCGAGAGAGAGAAACTTCTTCATTAATGTCAGAGTGTTGTGATAAAACATGCTAATGTATCTGTCTGTGTGTGAATTCTTCATTATTGTCAGAGTGTTGTTATAGAACATGTTAATCTCTCTCTCTCTCTCTTTCTCTCTCTCTTTGTGTGTGTGTGTGTGTGTGGGCAAGCATAGGTGTGTGTGTCTTCATTAATGTCAGAGTGTTGTGATTGAACATGTTAATGTGTCTTGTCTGAGTATGTCATCTTCATGACATCTGATTGTTTATTCACAGAATATGATGGTGTGATTCTATGTGTCTGCCTTCTTCATTATTGTCTGAGTGTTATATATTCACAGTACATATATGGTTGTCTGTATTTACTTGTTTCATTGATGTCTGAGTGTTGTATTCACATTACATGTATGGTTGTCTGTATTTACTTGTTTCATTGATGTCTGAGTGTTATATTCACAGTACATGTATGGTTGTCTTCATCTACTTGTTTCACTGATGTCTGAGTGTTATATTCACAGTACATGTATGGTTGTTGTCTGTATTTACTTGTTTCATTGATGTCTGAGTGTTATATTCACAGTACATGTATGGTTGTCTGTATCTACTTGTTTCACTGATGTCTGAGTGTTATATTCACAGTACATGTATGGTTGTCTGTATCTACTTGTTTCACTGATGTCTGAGTGTTATATTCACAGTACATGTATGGTTGTCTGTATCTACTTGTTTCACTGATGTCTGAGTGTTATATTCACAGTACATGTATGTTTCTTTGTATCTGCTTGTTTCACTGATGTCTGAGTGTTGTATTCACAGAACATGTGAGTATCGGGGCCCTCGGGGACAGTTTCTATGAGTACCTGCTGAAGGAGTGGCTTATGTCCAACAAGGAGGACACAGAGGCCAGGCAGATGTATGACCAGGCTATGCAGGTGAGCTTTGTCTCAGGTATAGAACCTATGGGAGACCCTGTCTTTAATGTGTTATTTGTTAGTCAAGTCAGTAGAGAAACCCTGTCTTAGATGTGTCATGTGTTAGACAAGTCAGTAGAGAGACCCTGTCTTAGATGTGTCATGTGTTAGACAAGTCAGTAGAGAGACCCTGTCTTAGATGTGTCATGTGTTAGACAAGTCAGTAGAGAGGCCCTGTCTTAGATGTGTCATGTGTTAGACCAGTCAGTAGAGAGACCCTGTCTTAGATGTGTCATGTGTTAGACAAGTCAGTAGAGAGACCCTGTCTTAGATGTGTCATGTGTTAGACAAGTCAGTAGAGAGACCCTGTCTTAGATGTGTCATGTGTTAGACAAGTCAGTAGAGAGACCCTGTCTTAGATGTGTCATGTGTTAGACAAGTCAGTAGAGAGACCCTGTCTTAGATCTGTCATGTGTTAGACAAGTCAGTAGAGAGACCCTGTCTTAACCAGCCGAGAGGGATTAGGAACATTTTTATTCAGGAAGATTGTGCCTTGGTTAGTCTAAATCTTAATATGTTGGATGTTTTGACCACTTTTGTCTAACATGCAAAATTTCAGAACAACCAGACACAACTGATTGAAACAGTCGAGCGATCCGAAACATTTTGTTCAGCTTCATCCAGACTCACCCCTGTATGGTTTTAGGACCCCATTGTGGGGAAAACAAGAACTGACCCACTGCCCACCCCTGTATGGGTTCCAGACCCCATTGTGGAGAAAACAAGAACTGACCCACTGCTTGCCCAATGGCTCACCCCTGTAAGTGTTCCAGGACCCATTGTGGGGAAAACAAGAACTGACCCACTGCTCACCCCTGAATGGGTCCCAGATCCCATTGCGGAGAAAACAAGAACTGGCCCACTGCTTACTCAAGAGCGTGTCATAGGAGTCAACTAATTGAGAGCTTCCTTTGAAGTCGGAGTGCTTCTGCCTCAGAGCAAGGAACCAGCAATCTATATACAAATGAGTCAGATCTGTAAAATGGATGTGCACGAAACACTGAGGTTCTCGAACAGGACTAGAGTCCAGAAGTGGACAAACAACCAGAACTGTTTGCTGGAGTTTACAGCTGGAAGATCCTAACCCATATTGTCAGAATCTAAGTCATTACTGCAATTCTCATTCTGATTTTTCAGAACAGGTTCAAACATATTTATTTTTCTAGCAAACCAAACGACATTAGAATTCTGTGTCGGGAGCCACTTAACTGGCGATATGTCTAAACATGACTGAGTCTGCCACCACTTATATGGCAACATGACCTGAAAGAGTTTACTTTGATAATGTGGAATGACCTGTTTGTTAACCTGTGATAATATAGAATGACCTAAATGTGAGCTCAGACCCTGGCATCGTGTAATTCTCAAATTTCAGGTTGTTTATGATAAGTTACTAGTAAAGTCACCAGGAGGTTTATCTTATTTTGCGGAGTACAAATCTGGCAGACTTGAGCATAAGATGGACCATCTGGCATGCTTTTCTGGTGAGTGCGACAGACCTGATGATTTCTGTTTGATGTCTCTGTCTCTGTGGTGTTCACTGATGTGAGGATAAGATGGGTAGCGTTGCTGTTTTTTCTTCTTATTCTCCTCTAACTTCTCTTTATTTTTCATCTTCTTTTCTTCCTTTTTCTTCTCTTTCTCCTCTATTTCTTCATCCTCTACCTTGTTTTCTTCTTTCCACCCTTCTTCTTTTGCTTCGTTTTCTTGTTCCTCTTGTTCCTCCTTCTCTATGGACCCTTTAAATTACAGCTGGAACATTAGACTGTTGTTGTTTACAGCCTTTTGCAACTTGTTGAGAACAGTGGGTCTGTACCCCCTCCTTCCCCTCCCCTAAATGTAGCCCCGGGATTCATGCTAGGAAAACTGCTGCAATTTCTGTGGTGTCTGTGTGGTTGCCACCTGTGCCAGAACAGAGTAGAGAGGGTGGTCACTTGTGGCCCATAGCTGTTGGGTTAGCTGATGAGCCTGTACCCACAGTCAAATGACAGGCCCTTGTTACGCAGCGGCACATTGGACATATGATGCCAGACTCATGTTTTTATAGTCTGGTTGGGTCTCTGCTGTGTGATGTTTTCAGCATTTACTTCCCAGGACATTACCTTGTACTCATTTTAGACTTGATCAATCTGGGAGCCAAAGTCATTAAAAAAAATTAAGAAATGCCAAGGGGCAGATTTCAATCCAAGACCTTCTGACTGGTGGATGAGCCTCTAGCCACTATGCCACCTCAGCTGGCAACAGTCGTCATGATTTAGGAGGTCATTTGTAAAACTTCACTTTTGTCACAGTTTGCCTGACTCAGTCTCTCGCCAGCTGTTCTGCCTCGTGCACTTTCCTACCCAAGGAGTCACTTAATACTATGTCCATCTTTGTTTTGGTCGGCCCCTGCCCCTCTTTTCTGGTAACCTGTCTTCTGCTATTTTTTTCCCCAACATTTCAGTTGCTGACTACAGTCAAGTTGCCTTTGTTCACTTGCTGATGCTTATTGGTTGGTAGTCTGGTAGTCTGGTAGTCTTAGTTTCAGCTTCATAGCAACGGGTCGCCCCATCTTTGTTCCGCTCCTGTGCCAACGAAAAACACCCAAAATGTTTATCACAGTCCCTTGTGGAAAGATTGACAGACTGCTGTCTCATCATATCTAGCATACACTCGCATTAAAGCATACGGTAGCCATCCTAAATGCTAACACAAACAGTCCAACATTAGAAATGCAGTTCATCATTGATGATAGCAGAACTTGTCGCCAACACTTCAGCAGTTGTCCATGCGATCAATTTTAACCAGATACGGGCACCGCCAACATTGCACGACAGGCATCACGCCATTTTCTGAATCTACAATTCACACCACCACGTTGGTCACAGTCGAAAATACATTCCAAATGCAATCCGCAGCTCACAGGGTCATGCCATGCATTCAACTCAGAAGCTGGGCGACGAAACTATATCCAGTCTACAAATGGAGCAAAAATACTTCGGCCACCGCCCGGCAGAAGCCAAAAATTTGCCTCTGCTTCGAACAGCGCCGCTGTCTAGCGTCCATTTTAACCGGAAATTCTTTATTTCTGTTACATTATTATTGGTTACATGGTGCTGGGTCCTTCCTATCAGCCATGTGCTGGAGGTCATGTGCTGCGGGTCTGGCAGATGTTGGCCTGTGAAAGACTTTAGCTTGTCTTGAACCTGACTCACTTGCATTGAGGATGCATTTATACGGAACATAAAACTCAGATCAAATCAGCGATTAGAACTGAATGGAACAATCCTCAAAAAGCAGTCTGACTCTCTTGAATGAGAGGATCAGAACATTATATTTAGATCACAAACTACAGCCATGTAGATTCAGGATTCAGAACTTTGTCCGTGTGGGCAGGCACAACAGAATACTGAACATGTGCTACAGCTATATAGATTCAGGATTCAGAACTTTGTCCGTGTGGGCAGGCACTACAGAATACTGAACATGTGCTACAGCCATGTAGATTCAGGATTCAGAACTTTGTTCGTGTGGGCAGGCACTACAGAATACTGAACATGTGGTACAGCTATGTAGATTCAGGATTCAGAACTTTGTCCGTGTGGGCAGGCACTACAGAATACTGAACATATGCTACAGCTATGTAGATTCAGGATTCAGAACTTTGTCCGTGTGGGCAGGCACTACAGAATACTGAACATATGCTACAGCCATGTAGATTCAGGATTCAGAACTTTGTCCGTGTGGGCAGGCACTACAGAATACTGAACATGTGCTACAGCCATGTAGATTCAGGATTCAGAACTTTGTCCGTGTGGGCAGGCACTACAGAATACTGAACATATGCTACAGCCTTGTAGATTCAGGATTCAGAACTTTGTCCGTGTGGGCAGGCACTACAGAATACTGAACATATGCTACAGCCATGTAGATTCAGGATTCAGAACTTTGTCCGTGTGGGCAGGCACTACAGAATACTGAACATATGCTACAGCCATGTAGATTCAGGATTCAGAACTTTGTTCGTGTGGGCAGGCACTACAGAATACTGAACATGTGCTACAGCTATGTAGATTCAGGATTCAGAACTTTGTCCGTGTGGGCAGGCACTACAGAATACTGAACATATGCTACAGCCATGTAGATTCAGGATTCAGAACTTTGTCCGTGTGGGCAGGCACTACAGAATACTGAACATGTGCTACAGCCATGTAGATTCAGGATTCAGAACTTTGTCCGTGTGGGCAGGCACTACAGAATACTGAACATGTGCTACAGCTATGTAGATTCAGGATTCAGAACTTTGTCCGTGTGGGCAGGCACTACAGAATACCAAACATGTGCTACAGCCATGCTTTCTTTATTCAGTGCAGAGATCCCAGGTTTGGCCTGTCAGTATAAACCAGGCTGTATGAATCAGTGAAAAATGCATCACACCACAGAGTTTATAGACGCCTGTGGACATCCCGACTGGAAACCAGTGGCAGAGAGAAGAACAAGAAGACTCGCTTGCAGAATCTCCACTCAGTTGTGTATGTAGTCCTGTAGAAATGTTCTTAACTTTTTCCCTAATGTATTATGTTGTCGCTTGTTACAGCCGGCATGGTTGCACTAGGGGCAGAAGGATCTGATAACCAAACCAAATATGTGAATATAGGAGAGGATTTGGCTCATACATGCCATGAATCCTATATACGTTCAGGTGAGTTCTTTTAAGTCGTACAAAGGTGTAGGTGAGATCCATAGATGGACACATATTAATATGATATCTGTAAGTTAGAATATGCTCAGTTGAGATCTGAGAGTCAGAATATGTTCGTATGAGATCTGAGAGTCAGTATATGTTCACATGAGATCTGAGAGTCAGTATATGTTCACATGAGATCTGAGAGTCAGTATATGTTCACATGAGATCTGAGAGTCAGTACATGTTTACATGAGATCTGAGAGTCAGTATATGTTCACATGAGATCTAAGAGTCAGTATATGTTCACAAGAGATCTGAGAGTCAGTATATGTTCACATGAGATCTGAGAGTCAGTATATATTCACATGAGATCTGAGAGTTAGTATATGTTCACACGAGATCTGAGAGTTAGTGTAAGCTCAGGTGAGATTTGAGTCAGTAAAATTTGTAGTGTTGATAATCGGGTAATCATGTTTCCAACATCACAGCAGACAGGTCACCCTATAGCTGCTGTATTCCTGTGCCAACCCCAACTACACAATCTCTGTCACTGTCCCTTATGAAATAATTGGCATAGACTGTAATCCCAGCAAAGTCAATAGCATAAGGCAGCCATCAGAAGTGCCAACACAATAGTCCGGCACTGGAAAGGCTGTTCATCATCAGTGGAAGCAGCATTTACAAAGATCTTTAGTTGTATGTACAATTAATCGCATAAGACACCACCACTTGTGTGGCAACAGGCCACTTGCTATTTGTTGAGTCTACAGTTCACAAGAGAAAACACATTGGGCACAGTCAAAAACCACTTCAGATTACATTCACAGCTCAGAGTATCACAGCATGCCTTCAACTCAGTAGATGGGCGACAGAACTGAATACTTTCAGTTCAGATGTTGGGAAAAGTACAACAGCTAACCATAGCCAAAAGCAAAAATCATGACTAAAAAGTCAGCTTGCCTGTCCGTCATATTGTCCTAAATTAACTTTGAGTGTTAATAAGGGCTTAACTGGGATCTATCCCCAAGTAAACCATATTTGCCTATAAGATCTGAGAGTCAGTAACTGGTCAGGTGAGATCTGAGAGTCAGTAACTGGTCAGGTGAGATCTGAGAGTCAGTAACTGGTCAGGTGAGATCTGAGAGTCAGTAACTGGTCAGGTGAGATCTGAGAGTCAGTTACTGGTCAGGTAAGATTTGAGAGTCAGTTACTGGTCAGGTAAGATCTGAGAGTCAGTAACTGGTCAGGTGAGATCTGAGAGTCAGTAACTGGTCAGGTGAGATCTGAGAGTCAGTAACTGGTCAGGTGAGATCTGAGAGTCAGTAACTGGTCAGGTGAGATCTGAGAGTCAGTTACTGGTCAGGTAAGATTTGAGAGTCAGTTACTGGTCAGGTAAGATCTGAGAGTCAGTAACTGGTCAGGTGAGATCTGAGAGCCAGTAACTGGTCAGGTGAGATCTGAGAGTCAGTAACTGGTCAGGAGAGATCTGAGAGTCAGTAACTGGTCAGGTGAGATCTGAGAGTCAGTAACTGGTCAGGTAAGATATGAGAGTCAGTAACTGGTCAGGTGAGATCTGAGAGTCAGTAACTGGTCAGGTGAGATCTGAGAGTCAGTAATTGGTCAGGTGAGATTTGAGAGCTAGTAATTGGTCAGGTGAGATTTGAGAGCTAGTAATTCTTCTTCTTCTTCTTCACTTCCTCTTTTACCGCTGTGGGTGTCGAGGGAGATATAAGGTTATATTTCTAGCTCTTCTGGCTGCCTCGACCATAGGCACATCGTGCTGTTGTAGAGTTTCTCTGATGTTATCCTTCCATCTTGTTCTTGGTCTACCCCGTGCTCTACGTCCTTCTTCTCTTTCCATGTATGCTTTGTATGGTATGTTGTCACAAGGCATTCTCTCTAAGTGGGCAAACCATTTCACTTGCTGTCTTTGTATGTAATCCAGAATTGGTTCTGTGCCGACTTGTTCTCTTATGATCTCATTTCTGATCTTATCTCTTATGGTCACTCCTACAGCCCTTCTCAGACATCTCATTTCCGTGGTTACTAATTTTCTTTTATGGTTTGTTGTGAGTGACCATGTCTGGCACTGGTAGCACAGAGTTGGAATAAATATGCTTTGAATAAGATGTCTCTTTGTGCTGACTGGGATTGTCTTATGCTGTAATTGCTCAGGTGAAATCTTCTTCTTTGTGTTATCCTCGAGTCAGCATATTTTCAGATGTTATCCTTGAGTCAGCATATGTTCAGATGTTATCCTTGAGTCAGCATATGTTCAGATGTTATCCTCGAGTCAGCATATGTTCAGATGTTATCCTTGAGTCAGCATATGTTCAGATGATATCCCCGAGTCAGCATATGTTCAGATGTTATCCTCGAGTCAGCATATGTTCAGATGTTATTTATTAATTAGTGTGTGCTTGGAAGTTGTCCACGAGACTAATTAGGGTATCATTCACCATCTGAGTCTATTTGCATGAGGCGCCAGGGACCAACAGTTCGCATACAAATAAGCACTAAAAAAAAAAGCTACACATATGCACACAAAACTTAACTTGTAGAACATGACTAAAGTCCAGATAAGCGTCTCCATCAAAAACTTTAGGTCAGAGTTTACAGTCGGTGAAGGTGATAAAGAAGGTCCTCAGAACAACTGGCTGCCTTTGAAAGTCTCCCAATAATGATCCCACTCTGTAGCTTCAGTGATGATCCCTGGAGATTCTGATTTCACACAGTGCGTGAAATGATTTTATGACCTTCTGATAGTGAGTCACATTGGATGTGTTCTTGCAGCCACGGGGCTGGGCCCAGAGTCGTTCAGGTTTGAGGGCATCACGGAAGCCAAAGCCATCAGACAGAATGAGAAATATTACATCCTGCGTCCAGAAGTGCTGGAGGGCTGGTACTACATGTGGCGGCTCACCAAGAAACAGCAGTACCGCGACTGGGCCTGGGACATGGTGCAGGTCAGCTGTCCTTGTCTCACTCTTCTTCATCTGCTTCTCTTCCTCCGCCTTTTCCTCATCTTTTCTTTGCCCCTTTCATTTCTTCTTCCTCTCCTCTTTGTCCCTTTCACTTCTTCTTCTGCTCATCTCCCTCTTCTTCTGCTTCTTTTCCTTCTGCTTTTTCTCATCTCCTCTTTGCCCCTTTCACTTCTTCTTCTGCTCCTCTTTGTCCCTTTCACTTCTACTTCTGCTCCTTTTTGTCCCTTTCACTTCTACTTCTGCTCCTCTTTGCCCCTTTCACTTCTTCTTCTGCTCCTCTTTGTCCCTTTTACTTCTTCGTTCTCTCCTCTTTGTCCCTTTCACTTCTTCTTCTGCTACTCTTTGTCCCTTTCACTTCTTCTTTCTCTCCTCTTTGTCCCTTTCACTTCTTCTTCTGCTCCTCTTTGTCCCTTTCACTTCATCACTGTTTATTTTTTGCCCCTTCTCTTCTTCTTCTACTCTTTGTCCCTTTCACTTCTTCTTCCTCTCCTCTTTGTCCCTTTCACTTCTTCTTTCTCTCCTATTTGTCCCTTTCACTTCTTTGCTGTTTATTTTTTACTCCTTCTCTTCATCTGCCCTTGCTCCTCTTGTGCTTCTCATCTTGTTTTTCTTCTGCTCCTTCTTTTCCTCCTCTTTCTCCATCTTTGTCATGTATTTAGACACCGTTGTGTTCAGCTCTGTCCATCTTTGTCATGTATTTAGACACCGCTGTGTTCAGCTCTGTCCATCTTTGTCATGTATTTAGACACCGTTGTGTTCAGCTCTGTCCATCTTTGTCATGTATTTAGACACCGCTGTGTTCAGCTCTGCCCATCTTTGTCATGTATTTAGATACCGCTGTGTTCAGCTCTATCCATCTTTGTCATGTATTTAGACACAACTGTGTTCAGCTCTGTCCATCTTTGTCATGCAATTAGACACCACTGTGTTCAGCTCTGTTCATCTTTGTCATGTATTTAGACACCACTGTGTTCAGCTCTGTTCATCTTTGTCATGTATTTAGACACCGCTGTGTTCAGCTCTGTCCATCTTTGTCATGTACTAGCTGTACCCGGCCACGCGTTGCTGTGGCATAGTTTGGCTAAATGAAAATGAAAGAAAATAGAAATCGCATGTGTCTAATACAATCATTGTCTGCTCAGATAGTCTTTGACCCCCCCCCCCCCCCCCCCCCCCCCCACCACCACCACCACCACCACCACAACTAAATCCACCTACTACTCTCTCCCTCATCAAAGGTTTTTGGAAAAGAAAGACAATGGAAATCGCACGTGTCTAATATAGTTAATGTCGCAATCATTCTCTGCACGGATATAGAGATAGTCTGGTTTTCCAACTTTAGAACACGCACCTTATAATTGTGTCTTTATATTAGTGGTCGTTTAAATGGTGTTATTAGCACAGTAACAAAAATGGTTATTTGGTTATCACATGCTAAAGCTGTTTGTATTTTTATAGGGGACGGAAGTAAAGCTACAACTGTACTTGTGAATAAAAAGTAAGTCGTAAAAAATAGAAAAGCGGAGGTAGCGTTAGTAAAATATAAACAAATTAGGAAATGAGAACTAGAAAATCACGTGTAAAGCTCTTTAAGTTCTCTTAAATTTAAGCCATTACCCCCTCCCCTCCCTTCTTCCACCGACTACTGCTCTCTCCCTCTCCGAAGGATTTGAAAATCATTATTGGCGATATTTTGTTGTTGTTGTAACTGACATTGACATCCCTGTCCATCCGGACTAAAATGGGGAGCAGGAATTGTAATAGGTAGTGAATGGGGCTAGTGTAATATTTACCACATCATCATTCAAGTACCAGTACAACTACTACTACGACCACCACCACAGTAGCTAAAATAATGTCACTGCTATCTGTGTTACCATCGGAGTAGACAGAGAGTCGTGAGCCAGAAGATTTGGTTCCGCATGGCTAGTGCTGTCGCCACAGACTGGTCAGGTTAGGATGTATAATTTCACTTGCCGACAGAAGAACGCCATAACCTTACCGGCGGTCTTCACATGAGAGCACTACCGTGTAACAGCCCAACCACAACTATTACTGCTGCTGCTACTTTAAGTGGGTAAAGAAGTTACTGTGACTTAAAGCTCTCTCAGTTAATAGTTTGCCCCCCCCCCCCCCCCTTTATTCACCGACAACTCTTTCCCTCATTGAAGTAGTTGGGAGGAAAAAACAAACACTTGAAAAGCAAATGAACACAGGAAAAAAACACCATAATTAGGAAATGAACGCTATGGTAAACAGCACAGCTTAAAATTCCAACGCAGATAAAATAACTAAATCTAAATGAAAATAAATGGAAAGCTATGAAATTTCTGCATAACCATGCAATTGGAAAGTTTAAAAATGCAATCATAAGTATGCGAAATGGTCAAATTTAATTATCAAATGGTTTACCCATTTAGTTGTCTTTTTTTTTTTTAAAGTATTAAGAGCAACATTGCTAGTGCTGTCACCACAACAGTGCAAATGAGGATATTATTCTAATCCGGGGTAAAAAAAAAAATCAACTATTGCAGATTTGAACCCTGGTCTCCTGCACGGGAATCCAGTGTTCTAACCATTCGACCAAGCAGCCACTTAATTGAAGCACCGAAAAGAGAACTAAACTATTAGAGATGTTTGTCCCTACTACTGTGTCCCGATTATAACACAACTCAAAACCGCAGGCAATTGTTTTCTCGAAGACAGATACTCCAGATAACACGGTTAATGAAGTTAATGTCGCAGTCAATGTCTGCGCCGACGTCGAGATAGTCCTGGATGCCCCCCCCCCCCCCCCCCAATCAAAAGTTGTTTGAAAAAAAAAAACAGAAAATAGAAATCGTGTTTTATATGGTTATTGTGGCAAATATAGAGATAGTCTTGTTTGCTGTACCACGACCTACTCTATGTATTAGAGAAGGCGTTGGCTGCACGTAACTCGCCGGCGAATGGTGGAAGCCTTGCGTTTTGACTACGGCGCATGCGCAATTACTAACGTGGCTATAATTAGAAATCACTAAAATTATAAATATTAGTTTCGAATATTATGGCATAAATTGTAGCAAACTATCTCTAACAATGACAGGTTGAATTTCAAACCATGATGGTTCAACATCCGGTATCAAAACAAACATATCCTGAAAATTTCAGCTAAATCGGTTCCGTAGTTTCCGAGTCTATAAGGGGCAAATTAATTAGACACCACTGTGTTCAGCTCTGTCCATCTTTATCCTGTAATTAGACACCACTGTGTTCAGCTCTGTCCATCTTTATCCTGTAATTAGACACCGCTGTGTTCAGCTCTATCCATCTTTATCCTGTAATTAGACACCACTGTGTTCAGCTCTATCCATCTTTATCCTGTAATTAGACACCGCTGTGTTCAGCTCTATCCATCTTTATCCTGTAATTAGACACCGCTGTGTTCAGCTCTACCCATCTTTATCCTGTAATTAGACACCACTGTGTTCAGCTCTATCCATCTTTATCCTGTAATTAGACACCACTGTGTTCAGCTCTATCCATCTTTATCCTGTAATTAGACACCAATGTGTTCAGCTCTATCCATCTTTATCCTGTAATTAGACACCACTGTGTTCAGCTCTATCCATCTTTATCCTGTAATTAGACACCACTGTGTTCAGCTCTATCCATCTTTATCCTGTAATTAGACACCACTGTGTTCAGCTCTATCCATCTTTATCCTGTAATTAGACACCACTGTGTTCAGCTCTATCCATCTTTATCCTGTAATTAAACACCACTGTGTTTAGCTCTATCCATCTTTATCCTGTAATTAGACACCGCTGTGTTCAGCTCTATCCATCTTTATCCTGTAATTAGACACCGCTGTGTTCAGCTCTATCCATCTTTATTCTGTAATTAAACACCACTGTGTTCAGCTCTGTCCATCTTTATCCTGTAATTAGACACCGCTGTGTTCAGCTCTATCCATCTTTATCCTGTAATTAGACACCGCTGTGTTCAGCTCTATCCATCTTTATCCTGTAATTAAACACCACTGTGTTCAGCTCTATCCATCTTTATCCTGTAATTAGACACCACTGTGTTCAGCTCTATCCATCTTTATCCTGTAATTAGACACCGCTGTGTTCAGCTCTATCCATCTTTATCCTGTAATTAGACACCGCTGTGTTCAGCTCTATCCATCTTTATCCTGTAATTAGACACCGCTGTGTTCAGCTCTGTCCATCTTTATCCTGTAATTAGACACCACTGTGTTCAGCTCTATCCATCTTTATCCTGTAATTAAACACCACTGTGTTCAGCTCTATTCATCTTTGTCATGTACTAGCTGTACCCGGCCACGCGTTGCTGTGGCATAGTTTGGCTAAATAGAAATGAAAGAAAATAGAAATCGCACATATCTAATACAATCATTGTCTGCTCAGATATAGAGATAGTCTTTGATCCCCTCCTACCCCCCCCCCTCTCCCCCCACAACTAAATCCACCTACTACCCTCTCCCTCATCAAAGGTTCTTGGAAAAGAAAGACAATGGAAATCGCACCTGTCTTCTAGTTAATGTCGCAATCATTCTCTGCACATTTATTTAGAGATAGTCTGGTTTTCCAACTTTAGAACACGCACCATATAATTGTGTCTTTATATTAGTGGTCGTTTAAATGGTGTTATTAGCACAGTAACAAAAGTGGTTATTGGTTATCACATGCTAAAGCTGTTTGTATTTTTATAGGAGACGTAAGTAAAGCTACTACTGTACTTGTAAATAACAAAGTAAATCGTACAAAAATTAGAATAGTGAAGGTAGTGTTAGTAAAATATAAACAATTTAAGTAAGTAATGAGAACTTAAAGATCATGTGTAAAGCTCTTCAAGTTCTCTTAAATTTCAGTCATAACCCTCTCCCCTCCCCTCTTCCACCGACTACTGCTCTCTCCCTCTTTGAAGGATTAAAAAGTCATCACCTGGCGATATTCTTTTTGTTGTAACTGACATTGACATCCCTGTCCATCCGGACTAAATTGGGAGCAGGAATTCTAATAGGTAGTGAATGGGGCTAATGTAATATTTATCGCATCATCCTTCAAGTACCAGTACAACTACTACCACGACCACCAACACAGTAGCTAAAATAATTTCATTGCTATCTGTTTTACCATCGGAGTAGACAGGGAGTCGTGAGCCAGAAGATTCAGCGCCGCATGGCTAGTGCTGTCGCCACGGACTGGTCAGGTTAGGATGTATGATTTCGCTTCCCGACAGAAGAATGCCATAACCTTACCGGCGGTCTTCACATGAGAGCACTACGGTGTAACCGCCCAACCACAACTACTACTGCTGTTGCTACTTTGAGTGGGTAAAGCAGTTACTGTGACTTAAAGCTCTCTCAGTAATCAGTTTGCCCCCCCCCCCCCCCCCCCCCCCCCCCAAATTCACCGACTACTCTTTCCCTCATCGAAGTAGTTGAGAGGGGAAAAAAAACAATTGATAAGCAATTAAAACAGGAAAAATACACCAGAATTAGGAAATGAATGCTATGGTAAACAGCACAGCTTAAAATTCCAACGCAGATGAAATAATTAAATCTAAATGAAAATAAATGGAAAGCTATGAAATTTCAGCGTAACCATGCAATCGAAAAGTTTAAAATGAAATCATAAGTATGTGAAATGGTCAAATTTAATTATCAACTGGTTTACCCACAAACCTGTCCTTGTTTTTTTTTTTTAAAAATATATATCATTAAGGGCCATATGGCTAGTGCTGTCGCCACGACAGTGCAGGTGAGGATTTTATTTTAGCCCTAAGTAAAAAAAAAAAAAAAAAAAAACTGCTGCGTATTCGAACCCTGGTCTCCCTCTCAAGAGCTGAGTGTTCTAACCATTCGACCAAGCAACCACTCGATCGGAATATCGAAAAGAGAACATAACTATTTTAGATGTGTGTCCCTACTGCAGTGTTCCGATTATAACACAACTCAAAACAGCAGGCAATTGTTTTCTCATTGACAGATATTCCAAATATATTAATGAAACGGCACAATAAAAGAAATCGCACATGTCTAACACAGTTAATGTCGCATTCAATGTCTGCGCAGACGTCGAGATAGTCCCTGATGCCCCCCCCCCCACCCCCTCTTTTTCCCTACCAATCCATCGTCTACTTTTCAACTCATCAAAGGATGTTTGAAAAAAAAATCAGAAAATAGAAATAGTGTCTAATATAGTTATTGTGGCAATCACTGCCTGCACAGATATAGATATAGTCTTGTTTGCTGTACCACGACCTACTCTATGTATTAGAGGAGGTGTTGGCTGCACGGCGCATGCGCAATTACTAACGTGGCTATAATTAGAAATTACTAAAATTATAAATATTAGTTTCGAATATTATGGCTTAAATTATGGTCACCTATCTCTAACAGTGACAGGTTGAATTTCAAACCATGATGGTTCAACATCCGGTATCAAAACAAGCATATCCTGAAAATTTCAGCTAAATCGGTTCAGTAGTTTCCGAGTCTATAGGGGGCAAACAAACACACAAACATTGATTTTTATATATATATAGATTTAGACACAATTGTGTTCAGCTCTATCCATCATTATCATGTATTTAGACACCACTATGTTCAGCTCTGTCCATCTTTATCATGTATTTAGACACTGTTGTGTTCAGCTCTATCCATGTTTTGCCTCTCTTGGTCTGGCCAAGATGTTTGTCTCTATCTGTGTTGTGTCATTTGTGTGTGTTCACATTTGGTGTACCTGGCACATCACAGGGATTTATTTACATCTGCATTCTAAGGTTGAATTGGAAAAACAAACAAATAAAACTATTTTGTATTCTACAGGCTTTAGAGAAACATTGCCGTGCGGAAGCCGGGTACAGCGGCATCCGAGATGTGTACCAGGAGAAACCCCAGCAAGACGATGTTCAGCAGAGCTTCTTTCTGGCGGAGACGCTCAAATATTTGTACCTCATTTTCTCCGAGGATTCCTTACTGCCCCTGGACAAATGGGTCCTCAACACCGAGGCTCACCCACTTCCTGTGCGGGGTGTCAACCCGGCATCTATGAAGTAACTGATTGAGCGTATGATGTTGTTAGGTGTGCTTGTCTTGTGCAGTCATATTTGGTGAGAATATTGATGGCAGCATGTTGATGCAAAAGAAAAACCAAATTAATAAGGTAATCAAAGAAAGAAAACATGCTTTCTAAAGTACTTTTAAATTGGCACAGACGTGTGAAAAACTGCCGCATAGAAGGATGAAAAATGCACACATGTTTCTGGGTAAATACAAACTCAAATATAAAAGAAATTCATGTATGATTTTTAGATATAACACTACATACTGCATTAAACTCAACATAACGTATACACCCATATAAGCTCATACAGCCTTTATTTATGCATATACAAAAGCAAACAACCTTCTTACATACATATATGCAGACATACATACATAACCTTTACACATACATGTAGTGTTTCATATTCACACTCAGCCATTATACACACAACAAAAGTAACATATGAAACAGACAGCTGCAACAAATTGTTCATGCACTGACACCTACAACAAATTGCCCATACACCAACAGTTACAACAAATTGTCCATGCACTGACAACTACAACAAATTGCCCATACACCAACAGTTACAACAAATTGTTCATGCACTGACACCTACAACAAATTGCCCATACACCAACAGTTACAACAAATTGTCCATGCACTGACAACTACAACAAATTGCCCATACACCAACAGTTACAACAAATTGTTCATGCACTGACACCTACAACAAATTGCCCATACACCAACAGTTACAACAAATTGTCCATGCACTGACAACTACAACAAATTGCCCATACACCAACAGTTACAACAAATTGTTCATGCACTGACACCTACAACAAATTGCCCATACACCAACAGTTACACAACAAATTGTCCATGCACTGACAACTACAACAAATTGCCCATACACCAACAGTTACAACAAATTGTTCATGCACTGACACCTACAACAAATTGCCCATACACCAACAGTTACACCAAATTGTCCATGCACTGACAACTACAACAAATTGCCCATACACTGATGGCTACAACAAATTGCCCATACACCAACAGTTACAACAAATTGCCCATACACTGACAGCTACAACAAATTGCCCATACATCAACAGTTACAACAAATTGCCCATACACTGACAACTTCAACAAATTGTCCATGCACTGACAGCTACCACAAATTGCCCATACATCAACAGTTACAACAAATTGCCCATACACTGACAGCTACAACAAATTGCCCATACACTGAAAACTACAACAAATTGTCCATGCACTGACAGCTTCAACAAATTGCCCATACACCAACAGTTACAACAAATTGCCCATACACTGACAGCTACAACAAATTGCCCATACACTGACAGCTACAACAAATTGCCCATACACTGACAGCTACAACAAATTGCTCATACACTGACAGCTACAACAAATTGCCCATACACTGACAGCTACAACAAATTGCCCATACATCAACAGTTACAACAAATTGCCCATACACTGACAGCTACAACAAATTGCCCATACATCAACAGTTACAACAAATTGCCCATACACCAACAGTTACAACAAATTGCCCATACACTGACAGCTACAACAAATTGCCCATACACCAACAGATGATTCACACGTCAAATTAAAAGTCTGTTGTTTTATTGTACAGTCATTTTAATGTTGCTTGCTGGATTGAATCATTTGTTTTTTGGTTGACTGTCCTGCTGGGCAGGTACACTTGAAGAGTCAAGGTTCGAATCCATGGTCCTGCTGAGCAGGACTGGTATAGTTGTAGAATTCTGTTGTCTCCTTGTTGGTGGGATGTGGTGGTGATTTTATCAAGGGAGATATTTGAATGTTTTACTGTAGACACTGAAGCTTTGGAGACGGCTTGTGTTGGAGGAGAGCTGTGCTACGGCAGTAATTTTCTGGTCATGTTTTAATGTAGGATGTGGCACTGGATTGATCAGTGCACACAATCTGCCAGTGATTTTCCCCTGGGACCTGTCTCCCAACTCAAACTATACCAGTGATTTAAAAAAAGTACCTTTTTTTTGACACACAGAATTGCAGTTGCTTGACTACAGATTTGACCAATGAGTTGTCTTTGCAGCACAAAGTGTGGTGCTGACTTGACCAGTGAGACATCATATGACAGAATGTATGACACAGACGTGACCAATGAGTCAGCTTGTGACAGTATGTATGGCCTGCCTTTGACAGATGGGTCACCTTTTATCACTGTAAGGCATGGGCTGCCTTACTGGGTCATTTCCATGCTAGAAGGTGTATTAATGTATTGTGTAGCTATTTAAGTGACCTGTCTCAGGGTAATCCACAATGGTTCTCTGTGACAGGGGACAAATGGGAGAGGTGTATGAGTATTCTACATATTATTTTGTAACCTCTTGACTGTAATCTGAGAACTTCTATGTCTTGACTTTATGTCTTATATTGCCACCTCTTGACTGTAACTGCCACCCCTTGACTGTAACTGCCACCTCTTGACTGTAACTGCCACCTCTTGACTGTAACTGCCACCTCTTGACTGTAACTGCCACCTCTTGACTGTAACTGCCACCTGTTGACTGTAACTGGTTACAAGATGGTGGCTACAACTGATTTTCTTCCCAGGACTACTTATAATGGGAAGCCTCTTGTTGTGCTGACTCCCCAGGACATAACATTTGTGTGTTGGAGCAGCCAGAACATCTGCTGTCATGTCCAGTTTGAGACCCATATGATACTTTTGATGACTAAGTTGTGAAACAAATCTTTGTTTATTCAAAACTTTCTTCAAAGTTTATATGTTTGTTAGGGGAAACAGGTCAACCCCCCCCCCCCCCCAATCCCAAAACAGTGTGGCTGGGAATCCACACAGCAGTGTGCTGAACTTGGAGGGGGTTGGTTTGAGCATTTACATGTATTGATTACTCCTTTCATTTATAAAGTTGGAAACAACATTCACAATGTAGGTGAATAAATTTTTTCCGCATTTATTAGTAACCTAAGAAAAAGAAAAGAATTTCAATGGAGTTTTGTTGTTGTAATTATAGCAGGGTCGTGACCTATTTTTGTCAGTGGTCCCAGGGTGAGAAAGGGCTTCGACTGTTACATTTTCCTTTTACCTCTCTCACCTGAGGATGGCAGAGGAGTCACCCAACCACCAGGAAATCCACAATGTTTGGTCTCATTTTCCTACTTGAAGGTTTCACATTTTTATTTGCACATGAGAGTTATATTTTACCCCACATTCTTAGGGCAAATAGGAATGTCTTTTTCAGCCAGATTAACTCTTTGAGTCCCAAGGCACGCATCATATGTTCATATTTTACTGCCTTGAAGCCCAATGAACACATGATGTGCCAATTTTACGTCTCTCTTGACTACCCATTGGGCCTGTGATGCTAAACCCTCTGGGACTCAAAGAGTTAAGATTTGTGTGTGTTTTATGTGACTTATTGCCAAAAGCTGAAGTATATTGTCCCCTAGAAGCAGTCCTCTACAGTGCTTGGCTATTGGTCTTGAGTTCAAATCCCCATTGAAACAAATATATTTTCTCTCACTGAGTGGGTCTTCCAGGAAACCTGGTCTAAAATGGAAATATTCTGGAAGTAAAGGTGGCTGTCTGATGCTGACCTCATGACCTGTCCTGCTGGCGGATGTATACACGTGCGGCCAGCACACATGCCCAGCTAGTGTCATGAGATAAAAGGGCCCATTGTTTGTACATCTAGGGAGCAAGAGGAGAGGGACACACTTGTGTTTGTGTATGTCATTTATGCAAGTATATTTTGTACTGTGCATGTATAGGGTTAAAAGAAGTGGCAAAGACAATCTGTGTGTGTGTGTCTCTCTCCCCCATTCTCTCTCTTTATATATATATATTTGTGTGTGCGTGCGTGCGAGTGAGAGAGAGAGAGAGAGAGAGCGCGCGCGTGCGTGTGCGCACTGTAATATTGAATGTTCAGAATGTGGGACTGGAATATAGTGTGTTCAGTTTGGTCGTTTTAATCTATAAAATGTGTAATTCCTATGGCACAATAGCGTAATGTTCAGTTTTGAACATTAATATTTAGAAAAATGTTCGATTTGATGGCTCTAGAGTACTTGTTACTCACTTTAGTGGCGTCAGAGTCTGGAATATTCTATTTGGTGGCAACTGATTGCTAAAAGTGTTAATACCATAAAAATATTTAATGTGTGACACTTTTGTTAATTAAGGAAAGTATTAATTTAGTTTGCAATAATGTCTATGTCATTTAAGTCAACATATTTACTTGTTAATGTCACTCAGAAACTATGTAGTTGTTCAGATGTTGTATGTTACTCTGGGATTGTGTAGTTGTTGAAATGTTGTATGTTTTTCTGGGATTGTGTAGTTGTTCAGATGTTGTATGTTACTCTAGGATTGTGTAGTTGTACAGATGTTGTATGTTACTCTAGGATTGTGTAGTTGTTCAGATGTTGTATGTTACTCTAGGATTGTGTAGTTGTACAGATGTTGTATGTTACTCTAGGATTGTGTAGTTGTTCAGATGTTGTATGTTACTCTGGGATTGTGTAGTTGTACAGATGTTGTATGTTACTCTGGGATTGTGTAGTTGTACAGATGTTGTATGTTACTCTGGGATTGTGTAGTTGTTCAGATGTTGTATGTTACTCTGGGATTGTGTAGTTGTACAGATGTTGTATGTTACTCTGGGATTGTGTAGTTGTTCAGATGTTGTATGTTACTCTGGGATTGTGTAGTTGTACAGATGTTGTATGTTACTCTGGGATTGTGTAGTTGTACAGATGTTGTATGTTACTCTGGGATTGTGTAGTTGTTCAGATGTTGTATGTTACTCTGGGATTGTGTAGTTGTTCAGATGTTGTATGTTACTCTGGGATTGTGTAGTTGTTCAGATGTTGTATGTTACTCTGGGATTGTGTAGTTGTTCAGATGTTGTATGTTACTCTGGGATTGTGTAGTTGTTCAGATGTTGTATGTTACTCTGGGATTGTGTAG